TGCTTTTTCACCTAACATGAAGGAAACCGTCAAAGCCCTTGAATATTTCCTAGATTCAGTAAGGGGCTGGATGAGGGTGAAGAAGCTGAGGTTAAACCCAGACAAGACAAAACAGATGGTGTTATTAGTCAGTAGGAAACCCGAGTCAAGAATTCAGCCTGCTCTGGAAGGATTTGCTTTTCCTCTGGAAGATCACGTCAGTAGCTGTAAGTGTAAACATGACATAAGTATAGCATTGCCAAGTCAGAGCAATTCAGGAAGGGTTGCAGTTGGCACCACTCCCGCCCAAAGATCCAGAGACAGCATGGGATTGGGACCATTTTATACCTGTCCTGTGACAATTGCCTTGTTTTCCAGTTGCTTTCAAGTGTTGGTGTCAACATTTAAAACCCTAAATAGCTTAGGATCTGGCTGGCTTCAGCGTCGGTTGTCCTGTCTCCTGTAATCCTGTGATTTGCAAGAGGAGCAATTTTGGAGGTGTTGTTACCTATATAGGCCCATTTGTTAACCAAGTAAGAAAGGTCTTTCTCTTGTCTTGCCCCAAAGGATGGGGTTGCATTTCTTTGAGATGCATATTTTCCATTTAATCTTCATATTGCTTTTCATGTTCGGATTTTGACTGTGGCAACATTTTGTTATTTTAACTTGTACTTCAGCTTAATGTCTATTTAGCAGATGGAAAGTTATATAAACAACAAGAACAACAGCTGCAGTCACAACAAAAAGGATGATGGTGAAACATAAGCCACGGATGCCCACATTTTTGGGCTTTGGGGATTTGATGGTGTAAGGTTCCAGAAGGCTAAGCAACCGTTTGGGCCCTTTGGGGTATCCTGGGCACCACCACAAAATGGGCGCAGAGCATCTTAAACCAGTGGTTTTACAGCTACCTGTCGTTGTCATTTCCTGAGCATGTCTCTGAGCCCAAACATAGAAATGTTACAAATAAATAAATGCAATCCAGGGGTGTTAATGGGGAAAGATGTGAGCAACAAGAAGCCCATGCTTTGCTTTGAAGCAAAACCAGCAAGTAGTAAGAAATATTCTTTAGATAAAGCAAAAATAATGTTGCAGGACACCTTGAGGCGCCAAACAAAGGCTTTCTGACCCCTACAGGTGCTGTGTTGCCCACCTGTAAGTTAGAGTGTTGGACTGAGACTCAGGAAACATGAATCCTAGACTCCACATGGTTATGATGCTCCATGGGAGCAGTCATTGACTTTTTTTCCTAATCTATCTCACTGGATTGTGAAGATAAAATGGAGAGGAGGAAGGTCATACATACATGCTGTCTTGGGCTCCATGAAGGAAAGCTTGGATGTATATAAAATACACTAAAACTATTTTATTTTGTTGCCCTCTATGGTACTGGGGACATCAGATGAGAGATTTGGGGGCATTGCTCCTGGTGACAACTATGTGGGATGGTGTAGGATGATCGCAGAACAACCAATTTACACCATCTGTGCAATGGTGTAAATTGGTGCCCTGCAACAGCAGGGGGCTGGACCCAACTCGACTATTCTATGAGCCTGTGTTTACCCATGACAACCTGGATTCTGTGATGTTCCTGGTCATGATGGAGCAAAATGGTAGCCCCATACCTTTACCCACAATTCCCTTGAATTATGCATCTGGGAAGATGGAAATTGCTGGCCTTGTCAATCAAGCATGTAATCTCTATTCCAGAGATCTTTACTTGTGATATTTGAAATATAATAAAATCACCAAGCAATTTGATGCAGATATTAAAATCATATTTGAAATATGATTTAAATACAATATTACAGTTTCTCACACTGCAGAGAAATATATGAGCATTAAAAATGGAGCAGTGTGATTGAAAGCCAGCCGAAGCACGAGTGAGCAAGTGCACTTTCACAAGTTCTCCGACACATGCTGCAGCTTCTGTCTCCAAACTACACAGGGAAGGTTCTCCTTCCAAAGTGTGGGTGCCACTTGTAGGAAGGCCTGCTGCCAAAGCATTACTTGGAGACATTCTATTAATTTCAGAATGGCCAGCAAGGCCTCCTTTGATAGTACGAAATATCAGCTGGGTGTGTAAAAGGGAAGGCAGTCTGCTAGGTATATGCAAATGAGAGCCTTCTGTGACATTTGTATCCCTGTGCACTTGTTCCAAAATAAGTGCACACCTGTATTGTAATATAGTGTGCAGGTTTATCATGCATTTTGGTCAGTGGGGAGGGGTATAAACAATACAAGTATCTGGCTTAAACTTGCAACTCCCAGAGTTGGGAGGATGAGTTTGTTGTTGAATATGTTGACTCTTTCGGAAATGTCATCGTCTACAAAGTTTGTTGAATCACTCTGGTAGGCTCTTGGTGCATGAAAGGTAATACTGATGTGTTGAGCATCTAACATGGACATTTATTTTAAATTGTACAGAGTTATAAACATGGGTGGATGATGGGGAAATAGCCATGTGAACACAAAACCATGCTGACTTGTATTCCATGTTTTCAGTAACACATTCAGTGCAATACTCAATTTGCACTTGGCAAAAGTTGAGAAAAGATAATGGCTTAACCTATTTGTGTGTTGCCAAATCCAAATAATGCACAATTCCTTACACTACTTGATTTTTTAAATTGAAAATGGTGGTTTTAGGCCATTTCAGTGGATACAGATGTGATGTAGCTAATCCTGAATTAATATTCTTTAGAAATGAATGTGGAATCCCCATGGTTGCTAACTGCTGAACTCCAAGATCTCGTCTTTTGTACATTCAAGGCATGGTGCTGAAGTTTACATAACCTCCTTACCCAAATTTGACTAAAAGGGCTCATCACTTGCTTACTTTTGTGATTGGTGCTATCATCTGGTTTATTAGAAGCTAAAGCAAATTGAAGGGTTGTCTTCATAACTGTCGATATAAACAATCTCTTCAGCATGATGGAGGAGGCGTTTTAATTTTTAAGCTATAAAATAATTCTTAAAGCCATAACCATAAAAGCCATCAAGATGGTCAGTACTTTTGCCAGAGGCTTGAATCAGGGTAAAGTTTTTCATCTGCCAATTTGTATCTGTTTTTTATGTAATGGCAACCAATCTTAGTATGCAATAGAGCTTTGGTTGTTGGGCGGTGTAGAAATAAAACAAATAAATATTTCATGATCAGCTCTTTTGTAAGTTTTGCATTATGGCTTACAACCCAGGCACTGGCTTGTTTAGGGGCCAAACAACCCAGCACTTACCCTAAGAGCAAGCCATGGATTAACTGCCGGGTTCTTTAGCCCTTCAGCAGTCCAGGTTCTCATGTCACTCCGCACTCTGCCACTTGTGGATTGTGCTGTAAACAGAAGAAGTAGTTATGATTCCCATCATTTTTAAAACAGATTGGTTGTCATTAAGTTCTAAAGATGCTACGTGGTTTATTTCATTCTAGAATCTTTGTCTTAACAGCAACTGCTTGGTGAATGGCCACTGGTACTAGCATCAGTGTTATAAGTTCCACAGGTCAGGTGATAGTTGAAAAGTGGTACCTGGAGCTGCTGGGAACCAGAAAGCGAAAAATGTTGGATCCTCCATTTTGGAGCTATAACATTTTCTCCTGCCTGTTTCCCACGAGGAGATCAGGGAATCGCAAGAGCTTGCCCATTTTTGGTGATCTTTTGGTTGGCTTAATGAAACGATTACAATGATATAAATTATGGATATTTTCTTAGGGGCAACATGGGTACCTTTGGGACAAGGGCATGTTAATAATGTGATTCTCAGTGTCTGGACTTTCTGCTTCTGTTTGCAATGAGATTCCTGCCTCCCAGTATCATGTGTAATCTGAAATTCATAGCAGCACTCCAGGCATGAGATGCATCAAACCATTGTCCATGAAAGCTTGTGCCATAATAACTTTGCTTGTCTTCAACTTAAAGGGCTGGTTTTGCCACAACAGATCCAGCCTGACTATCTTTCTGGAAGCCCCTTCAAAGAGATGTACATAAGAATCTTAAGATCTAAATGTAACAATTTTGTCATCCGCTCCTTCACATTAACTACTATCAAAATTTTGCAGTGGGCTGGTATATACATCACCCTGGGCTCACCATGGATTAATTAATCCATGTGCTAGGTACGTGTGTCTGCCCTTATTCAGCTCCCAATAGTGTTGCAACACATAATCTGAACTCATCTGCTATGACTTATTTATTTAGCCATGTTTGGACACCATATTGCAACTCTTCTGAAAGCTACATATTCATAGTTTTAGGGAATTGTGTCTGATAAGGTTCTTTTGAGGAAGAGCCAAGGGTGCATATAACATGCTCTGAAAGGGAATTTTAAACACGATTTTTGTAATTTCTTCCAAGAAACATTTGAGAGCAAATAGAGAAGACACTTGGAAATATAGAGACAGTTATGTTGATATGGAAGAAGAAGTAGATTAAAATGCAACTTGAATTTATATCAATTCTGTAGTTAATTTAAGAAAGTTTAAAACGAAATGCAGTGCTAGGAATCTAGCTTGCTTTATGTCGTGCTTCATTCCCACTGGAGTTTCTTCAGGCCTGTCTTTAAACATCTGATTGTCTTGGGCATTTCTTGGCAACTTGCAGCCATTCTAGAACCCTCAACCTTGCTTCTGTGAGCTCGAAAACAGTAGTGCCCTGTTTACAGAATGTCTCCTCCAAGGAGAGCTTTCTTTTCTTTTGGATTTTATTGGAGGGTGCATACATAAATAACACATGTGCACACGCTTCTGTGCTTTTTTTGTACTGGGTTAGAGATCACATAATCATACAGTTGGAAGAGGCTAGAAGGCCATCAGGCCCAACCCACTGCTTAAAGCAGGACTCAAGTCTCCCATCCTGATTCTAACCAGACCTGACCCTGCTTAGCTTTCAAGATTAGGCAGGTTCAGGCACTTCAGGCTATTGTATTTTATCTTCTATACTTGAATGTGCCTAATGAATGTTGCTAAGTGGATTAAAAATACAATGACTAAAATGTATTTAAACTGATTATTTTTGTGTTTTTAACAGATCATGGAAGAAACTAACACCCAGATCGCCTGGCCTTCTAAGCTGAAGATTGGTGCAAAATCAAAAAAGGGTAAATTTTAACTTGGAACTTGGTTAATTGGGATAATCCATAATGACCAAAACAAGCAAAAAGCTGTGGGTAACTATGTTCTTGATTCCTTTTACCTAAAAACTGCATTTCTCTAGTTACTCATTTGCCTTTCCTAGTTTGCCTTTGCTTGTTTTGGGGGCTATGCACTCTTCAAATTTAGCATCACTTAATATGCATTTGGGCTGGTTTTCCAGGTGGGTCTGCCTATGTGAAGATTTATGCATCATTTAGTAAAACCTGGTTGCTAATGTTCCCTCACAGTGGTATTGAAGTATTGACAATGTTTAGAGACATTTATTATCTTGATACAGGTATTAAGGAGATGAAAAATTATTTTGTTTCACTATGAAACATTGGAATTATTCACTGTGTCCAAGTGCTGCAAGCCACCAAGCCTGTTATTGCTATGAATGAGTGGGTGGTATTTGATCTGGAGTATCATATTATACTGGTTTCCTATCCTTCCTAAACAAATTTTGCATTATAATAAGCTTTATAAAGCATCATTTTTTTCAGATAGTGCCTTTCAAGGATAAGAATCAAATTAGCAAATCCAATTCTGTGGGCGGGATTTGTGTGTGTTCAGACTTAACCATTGTGTTAACAGGAATTCATGTGTTAATGAATGCACAAACTGCATGGCTTTGCTGAACCCATTTCCAGAAACACCAACAAATGTTGTGTTTGTAGATTCCTTTTGTGACACTTGAACAGGGCATTTGGGGTTGCTCATAGGTTAAATGACTCCAAGTTAAACCAAGGTTCATTCTTGGTTAATTAACCCATGCATTGTCGCAAAATGGTGCTAACATGAACAAACAAGTCTATTACTTTGATAGAGTCGTTTTAGCTGCAGAACAGTTTGTGTTTTATATTACTTTGAATACATACAGATGTGTACATTAGCGTGTTCCTTAACCCTTGGAATTACATCATCCTGTTGGAACATAAGCATTTTTCCCAGTAGAGTTTTCTTTGCATAGTTTCTTGGAATGGGAGGCTGAAGATAAAACAAGGCCACATCCTAAGTAGCTGGTAATCTTTCTTGTTCAGAGTTGTATAAAAGTGGTTACTCTATTTCATTTTTTAACTTTTATTTAAGCAAATGTTTTAGAAATGAATGAGTGTGTCATTTCACGTTTTTCCGCTGTGCGTATGCTGTAGGATAGTACAACATTGAGTAAATTCATTGGTGGATCCAGGGAGCATTCCCAAATATCAGTGCTACTAAAACATCTCAAGCTCCTCATTCCTATCCATTAAGCCTTTAACAGTTCTGGTACCTGTAGCAGGGTTTCAGATGTTAAACAAATTGTACAAGGGTCACATATATTGGAACTTGACATGAGAATGTATCAGTTCATGTGAACATAGTTGAACCGTGCTTGTTCTGTGGAGTTTACGAAATTATACATCATGTACAGGGAAAAGATTAAAAGCAAAGGCAAGCCTCTTAATGCATGTCATTATAAGTCATTTGTCATTCGATGAGATGAGGCCAGTCCATGACTCACCTTGGCAAATGAGAGCTGTCTGCTTTCCTTACCAAGTGGTAGGTTCTAGTATGCAGCATAGTACTTGTTTAGGTCTCACACATGTTGCTATCATGTGCCATCACATCATCAGCAACCTTTGGCAATCCTATGAATGAGCCCTCGCCAAGATGTCCTGTCCTTGATGTCCTGTTCGGTTCTTGTAAACTCAAGGCTGTGGCTTCCTTTATGGAATTGATTTATTTCATTCCTGGTGTTTGCTTCTTCTGCTTTCAGCTATTATTTTCTTCTCTAGTGAGTCTTAGGTCATCCTGATGTACAACAGCCCCAATTTCGTCATTTTTACTTCCAGGGCAAGTTCTGGCTTGATTTGATTTTTTCATCTTTCAATCAGTCCAGGGTATTCACAAAGGTCTTCTCCATCAAGTTTTGAATCCATCTGTTTTCTTCCTGCTAGCTTTCTTCACTGTCCAGCTTTCACATCTATACATTAGTGAGGATAATCACGGGCTTGGTTTCCAGTGAAATGCCCTTATATATATGTTGCTAGCCAGCTTGTATTTGCTTTGCCCTGCTTATGGCTTATATTGATTTAGGTTTTCTCCATGAACACTCCAGTTCTTGAAGGGGTGAGACTGCCTTTGGCATGAAAATTATGAATGCTTGGAGCTGGTCTCAGCATTGGTCATCTTTCAGAAGATTTCCAGCCTTACTGCCTTGACAAAGCTTACCACTGATTTTTGCCCTGGGGCTCTTTGCCCCTGACTTTCGGGCACTGTAGGAAGTCAGAATAGTGGCCCCCAGTCATCTGGTTCTACTTGGAGTGTCACGTTCAGGTGACTTCCCCATGGCCAATCCCCAAAAGTAGACACCCACCAGCCGTCAGGGGCCACTGACCTGCATCTGGACATATGAATTGAAATTCAGGGGAAGGGATATTATTTCTGTTTTTTATTATTATTGTGGTGGGGTGATTTATTTTTATTGCTTCCACTGCAGAAAGCAGTCTTGAAGCAATTTACACATAAAGAAATCTATAACATTACAGACAAACCCAAGACCAATATAAACCATAATTGGCACAAAGCAAATTCAGATACATGTGGTAGAAACATATTTTGGTGAACAGCTAAGGCAAAACAGGTTTTTTTCCAAGTTCAGGACACTCAGTAACATACACAGTTCTTACACTGAGTGTAATACATCCCAGTTTAAGAACTGTTAATGTCTGAATAAATGCCTTTTCACCACAGTAAGAGATAAATGTGGGCAAACTACTTGCTTTGTGTCTGAGATATTCATGCTGTACAGTTTAAAGAACTTTTGTAAAAATTTGTTTAGGAGCAGAGCTCTCTAAAATTAGCCGTTGGGGTGGCGGTGGTGGGGAGGGGAGGGGAGATTTAGGATATCAGTGGTTGGTTTGTCTTAAAGTATTATAAAGTATAAATATGTAGTATTACTTTTCAGCTGGAGGAATCTTTATTTTTAAGTGTCAAAAGTTTTTTTTTCCTCCTTGGGGACTAGTGTTTGCGGAATCCAGTTACATAAAACAAAACCTTTCCAAAGAGTTTGGCAGCTCGAACATAGTTAAGTGAATTTTTAAAAAAGAAAATGGCTGGATAGGTTTAAGCGATTGGTTTGCTTTCAACAGCATTGGCTTTTTCTCATGAGATTTGAACAAAATTGTAAATATGTGGAAATGTGTTAATGTTGCAACTCAGAGCTCACTACTATGGTGGTTTTTGGCACCCGTGTGGATGCAGGACAAGCGGGATAAATCAAGCAATGATATCCAGTTTACATCTGAAACTGCAGTTTTCACATACCAATGCAGAAGCATCAAATTGGGATAGAAATCAGAGGTGTAATAGTCCAAGCGGGTAAATTGTCAATACTGCAGGTGAGGATAGGGATCATCCCTGACTAAATCAAGTCATACCCAATCCAGTTTTCATTTTTAGTCAAATCCAGTCCAACGGCTTACTTCTGTGATGCCGAGCTGCCTGGCTTTCCTTAGAATAGAAACTGGTCCAGGCCTTCATGCACATTCTTGCTTTATTCTGTCTCACCCGTAGATGTTCACAGCTCCCCTCAGGTCTTGTCTTCTCACTTTGGAATATGTCCTTTTTGTCAAGATTCTTTTGACCATCACCAGTAGTCCACCAGCCTTGAAAATGCCATGTTGCCTTTCCACTTCCCTTCCCAGCCACTGTTTCCTCTAAGAAAAATGTGATATAAAACTATTATACAATGCTCTAAAACTTCCAGTGATATCCACCATCTAGAATTCCTCTGTCATATTTAGCTTCACAGGTTTAGGAAGTGTGGGAAAATAGCTTGTGTGTTGGAAGCCTAAACCTTTAAGCATGTTGATAAAATAAAAGGAAGGGCTGAGCAAGGTTTTTGCTCCTCCTTATGGCAGAGAGCCTTTAGACACAGTTAATCATTTCTGTCTCCCTGGATTCCGAAGTATGAGTTTGAATTACCACCGTTCATTTATTTTGGCTTGGACTTCTTCTATTGTTTCCTGTGTTTATATTAAATGCGTATTAAAGTTAAACATCTTGGTAAACAAATAGTTTCCTTTTGCATTACTGGCGGCTGCCAGAGAAGTAGTTGTAGATGTTCTTCACTAGATTAGCTCAATATCCGACTGATTTTTAAGCCTGCTTAACTCCTTGCTGGTAGACTTTAAAAACCCCGACTGGGAATAGTGGTACTCAATGAGCTGTTTTAAAATTATGTAATTGTCATCTTTTAAAAAGTGTATGCTGTTAAACTCTTTTCCCACTTGCCCTCATTTCACCACAGGTTTTAGTGCCAAAAGAGATAGCAGGCTGCTACCAAAGATCAGCTCAGCAATGTATTGTTGGACATTTGAACTAAGAAGAGTTTAAGTTGCAAGTCAATTGCTTGTGCTGTTAACACTGTACTGTTTAGGTAGTATGGGACATCTTCCCTTTCCCATTCCCTTTCCCATCCCCTGTTCCCTTTCCTTTCCGTTCCGTTCCGTTTCTTCTTTTTTGCACCTGTGGCGAAAATATAAAGTTGGTAAGCATTGATCTTGTCCTTCCGAAGGGCAGGTCCATATCAGGGGAAGAAAAATATGAGCCTAAGAAATGTGGCAGTGGTCAATGCCTTGGCAGTCAGCTGCAGAGTGGCTTGTGCAGGTGAAAGGGAGGGTCCCTGCAGTTTCTTCTGGGAAACGTGGCAGGACGCGGGACCACAGCACCTAGGACAGAGGTGATGCCTGGTGGGCCATGGGTCCTGCTAGTTAGGCTTCCATTGGACAGCACTTTGTATCTCTGGGCCCGTCAGTGCCATGCAGTGCAAGCAGTGGAAGGAAACTATCATCATAGTCTGCAAATGCCAGGCATCTAAAAGGGTGGCACTGGCACGACAATTTTTTTTTAAATAAGTGTATTGAAGCAAGTCAGCTGACCATCTGAGGGCTTCTTCCCAGTAACGACTTGCTGTAGGGCACTA